ACCAACGGTGGATCTACCGCGTCGACCCCACGCGGGTGAACGAGTTTGGCATGAGCGGCGAGGCCCCGCCAGCAGCCGCCCCCGTGGCCGATGCCCCGCCAGCAGCAGGGGCCCTCCCAGCCTCCCCTGCCCCCGCCACAACCACCGCCGCCGCCAGGGAGGAGGCCTCCACGCCCCGGCCCGCCAAGCCCACCCAGCCCACCCAGGGGGCCAGCTCTGCCAGCGAGCCCCAGGAGGCTCCTCCAAAGCCAGCAGAGGACAAGAAAAGGGATTAACCGCTCCTGGTCCTCCTCGTCCGCTCCGGCTCCCAGTGACCACCGCCCCCGCCGCCTTGGCCCCCCCGCCTCCCCTCCTGTCGCCCTTTCCCTGGACAGATGGGGCTGGGACGGTAGGAGGCCCCCTCGGGCCAGGGCCCAGCTTGGTGTGGGGGCCGGGCAGGCCAGGGCACGTTGTTTGTGGAGGTGCCGTCCGTCCGTCTGTTCCTCTGTGTTTCTAGCCATCTCGCCCCGCCAGCCCAGCACCATCGGGAATCATGGCGAAGCCGACGTGGCGCTGCCCAGGGGGAGGGCCAGGCGGGGGAGGGGCCGGGGCCCCTCTGCGGGGTGCCCACGGCATCCATCATCTTGTCCCTCGTCCCCGCCCACCCCCTCCTCCCAGACCGCCGCCCTTTAACACAGTCTGGATTTAATAAATTCATATGGGTGTTTAACTTAAACTCAACAACCCCTCACGCCTTCCTTCCTCTGCCACGTGGGAGAGCAGGTGTGGGTGCCTGTCCAGGTCTGGAGGGAGACCCACAGGTGCAGGACACGACCCTCGGGGCCAGGCCCCTTTCTCACCCTCTCCCCTCCCAGCAGCCTTCTGAGGGGCCTCCATGACTGTACCCCACTTGACAGACGGGGAGCCTGCTTGCCGGGACCTTGCTGCGCCCATGCTCTTACCCCAAGGCCACACGCACCTGTGCCCACTGACTGTCTCCCGGCCGTCGCCGCCGGGCAGGGCAGGAGCATGGGCCTGCCTCCTCGCAGGGTTGCTGCGGGGGCTCGGGGGTGAATCCGCGCTCGAGTGGTGCCCAGCTATAGCACTCTGTAGCCGAGGGGGTGTCATCAGCACCCCCAGGGCTGCCTGTGTCAGAGACCCAGCCAGGGTCTTAGTGCATGGCACGTGTGCCTTCCCAACAACCCGGGTGCTGGGACTGTTCACCCACCTTACGGGTGAGGAGACAGGCCTCTGGGCGTCCCTGCACACCGAGGGGTTGGGACCCCACGTTCCCAGGTTTACTTTCTGGGGGAGTGGTCTCATCAACACCTCGGGGACAGGAGGCCTGGGGCTGAGGACCATGCCAGGCTCACAGGAATCTGTGACACGGTACTGCAGGCACCTGCACCCCTCAGGCAGCCACGGACCTGCTCCACTCCCTCCCCTGCTCTCTGCTGGGCTCTGGGAACCCGGGGCCGTGGACCCTCAGGCCCCCTCCGCTCGCTGGCCTCATCACCCCTGGCTCCTCCTCCCACAGCCACACACCCAAGCCTTTGGCAGGGCCCATCTGCTGTCCCCCACAATTGCTTGGGAGTCTCACCTCTTCACTTCCACTGAGACCACCTGGTCCAGGCTCCTCCTTACCCCCTGGGGTCCCCACCCAGCCTCCTCCCTGGTCTCCTGCCCAGTCCTGCCCCTCCCGTTCACTCTCCATCCAGCAGCTAGAGAGAACTTTCCAAAGCACAAACCTGACCCTGCTCAGAACCTACCATGGCTCCCCAGTACCCTTGGGAGAAGAGCCCGGGCTCCTAACTTCTTAACCCCTACAGCCCCCCCTGCTTTAACTTGCTGTGATCTCTTACCTCCAGCTCTAGCCCATGCTCTTCCTTTACCTGGGACACGCCCCCAGGCACTCAGCTCTTCTCCTTACCCTGTGCATCCTCCAGGTTGCAGCGCCAATGTCGACTCCTTCAGGAAGCCCTCCCTGACCACCCCCTCGGCGCTCACAGCTGCCTGGGCTCCCCCATCCCAGCCCTGCCCGCTGTGGGTCATCACCATCTGGAGACAGGTCATTCTCCACTGGACTGAGCCCCGTGAGGACAAAGCCAGGGCTGTCTTGGTCACTGCCATGTCCTTGGCACAGAGAAGGCGCTCTGGGAGTGTGCTGAGTGCCCGTTTGTACAACCGACTTGCACAGACACACGCACACATCCAGAAGTGTGGACCCTGACAGGGCCGCATTAAGCTCCTGGTGGAGTGACAGACATGCAGTTAGTCAACAGATGCTCCCTGAGCCCCTCCCCGGATGTTGCCCTGAGCTGGGGGTTCTGGGTACACAGCAGGGACCAAGACAGCCCCAGGCCTGCCCTCATGGGGCACAGCCGGACAAATCCTGAGCGCTGAGGGTTTCCAACATGGCCTTTCACTTATTCACCCAACAGACAGTTGTGAGGCCTGACATTTGCAAAGGACAGAGGGAATCAGGTGGGCCCCTGATCTTATAATAGGAGCCACTGACGCTACTTATCATGAGCCAAGTTCTAGTCTAGGTGCTGTGTGTGGTTCGCTCCGTGCACTAAATGTAGCATTACTCAATGTCCCCGTCACCTTACAAGCTATCACTACCATCATCTCCACTGCTTCCCCAGCAGACATGCCGCTCTAGCCTCCTTGCTGTTCCTTGAACATGCCATGCATGTTCCCACCTCAGGGCCTTTGCACTTGCTGTTCCCTCTGTCTTGAACACTCTTCCCTAGATATCCACATGGATCCTTTCATCATTTCAGCCCTCTGCTCAAATGTCATCTCAGACCCTCCCTGAGCTTCCTAACCCAAAGAGTACTCTCCCAACTTGATCCACATATCCTGCTTTATTCTCTAATCCTGCCATCACCACCGGACATCAATTTGCTTATCTATTTTCCACCTGTTGCCCTCACCTGGATTTTAGTTCCATGATGGCAGGCTGTTGTCTGTTGTGTCCCTTGCCTGCTGTGTCCCCAGCTCTGTGTGTAATAACTCTGTAAGTCGGATGTTCACAAGAGCAGAGAAAACAGAAACCCAGAGAAATTAGGTGATTTGTCCAAGATCTCACAAAGTCACGTGACATGAGGATTTAGAACATGAAATGCTTAGATCAGTGCAAAGCACATGTAAGAGCCACATACAAGTGTCAACTCTTACTAGTATCTTATTTAATTCTCACAACCATCCTATCATTAGACCCATTTTACAGATGAGGAAACAGGATCAGAGAGATGAAGTCAGTTGCCCAAGGTCACACAGCTGGTAAGTAGGAGACCTAGGATTTGAACCCAGGCTGTCTGATTCTGGACCCTCAAATCATAACTTCTTTTGCCATGTTCTTGTTATATGCAGGCTACAGTCCGCAGGCCAAATCCAGCTTTTTCTAGTTCTGGTGTAATTTTTACATTTTCAAGTGGTTGAAACAAACCTCAAGGAGAAGATTTCATTTCACATGAAAATTACGTGAAATTCAAATTTCAGTATCCATCAAATAATGTTTTATTGGAATACAGCCACACTCATAGCTTCTGTACTGTCTTTGGCTGCTTTTGTGCTGAAGAATCGAGTGTTGCGGCTGTCTGGCCCTGAAACCCTCAAGTGGAACAAATTTGCTGTCGGCCGTTTGCAGGAAAAAAGGGCCGGATATTTTGCTCTGTGGCAGGAGTTCTTCAACTTGAGCATACAGCCACATCACCTGATGAGCTGGGGGCCACCCTCTGAGAACTGCTGTTGTACGTGATCCTGCCTCCCGTGAGCAGGTACCAGGCCTGGCTTGGCGAGTGCTGTGGCCTAGTGCCCAGTGCAGGCTCTGGGCAGAGCAGGTGCTCTGTAGGTGTATGTGGAGTGAATCAATGCGTCCACGTGGGCCACGGAGGGAAGAGGTGGAACACTCACGTTTTACACAAGCAGACACAGGACGCCAGACCCCAGCTCTGTGGGCCGAGGGTGCCCTGCATCCCAGCTGGAACCCAACAGTCACCCAGTCATTCTCATGGACGGGGCAGGCTTAGGAATGTGATGTGACCAAAGAGCTGCCCCTCTTTGAGCCTCAGTCCCTCGTCTCTCCTCCTGGTTCTGTCACGTGCGTCTGAGGCCCCCAGGTAAGCCCTCTGCTCAGCGGTCAGGCACACAGCTGGATACGTACACGGGGGGCTTCACCCATTCCCAGCCCGAGTTACTGAGCTGAAAGTGCGCTGCGCTATTAGGAAACTTGAAGGGGCTATGGGGAGGAATAAAACATCCCTCCGTTCATTCAACAAACATTTATTAGGCACCTACTGTGTTCCAGGTGCTGTTTTAGGCGCTGGGGATACAGCAAAGAACAAAACAGACGAATCCTAGAACTGACATTCTAGCTTTAAACGTTAAAATATGTTCACTCCCAATTTACAGTTGAAGAAACTGAGGCGTAGAGAGACCACGGAGGTTTCGTAAAAATCATTATCAATGGCAGCTATAGAGCCCCTGATCCCGAAGTGCCCTTCCAGCCAGAGAAACAGCAGGTTCGATCCCGCCGGCACACCTGAGCGGCGGGCCTCAGTTTCCCGACTTGCTCCCTGGGTGGGGCGTGAGTGGTCCCCAGCAGGCCTCAGTCGTCTCCGCCAGAGCAACGGGCAGCGACGCCGCCCGGCCCCTCCGGTGCGCCCGGCCTCCTCTTCCCGGCCGGCCCCGCCCCCGCGACCACGTGACGCGTGGGGGTTTTCCCGTTCCCCTAGCGTGACGTCACGGCGGGGTGCGGGCCAATGGGCGCGCAGGCCGGCGGCGCCGGGGAATTCCGCCGCCCCGCCCCCGCCCGCCGCCCGCCCGTCCGGCTTCTCGCG